CCTTGCGCCCCTCCACTCACCTACCGCCTCCCCCCCCCCTCCTCCCCCTTCCCACCCCCCTCCACCCCCAACCCACCCCTCAGCAACTCCTGGAAAGGCCTAACAGACCCCGACGGAATCTACCGCGACCGCGCCCTCCACATCCTCGACCTCAAACTCCTCCACCCCTCCTCCCACTTCACCCCCCTCGACGCAGTCGGCGCAACCTTCCTCTTGATCCGATCCCGCGTCTTCCTCGCAGGCGTCTTCTTCCCGCCTTACAATGTGATTGACGCTGGCTGGAATGCTAAAAAGGGTGGGGGGAAGGAGCTGATTGAGACTGAGGGGTGGGTTGGGGGGGGAGGGGGGTGGGAAGGGGGAGTAGGGGGGGGGAGTCGGTAGGTGAGTGGAGGGTCGCAAGGGTCTATACCTCGCTCCGCGAGCATCCCTCGCTTCGCGAGAATCCCTCGCTCCGCGACCATCCGAACCTCCCCACTAATACTCACGAATCACAATCCTCACACTTCTCCCCCACACTCCGAATGGTAAGAATATCCTTCCCCGACTCGAGCATCTTCCCTACCGTCCCCTCCCCAATTCCTCCCACATCCGCATCAACAAAAAGCACAAAGTCCTCCTCCTTCAACGCATGGACGACCAGGGCATTCCTAGCCATAGCGATATTCCCACGACGATCAAACTGGAGTTCACCGTCGTGGCGGCGGTCACGTGGGAGAGGAGGTGGAGCGTCGTGTTGCCGGATAATAGTTATGTGTGAAAAGTAGGGGGAGAGGGATTTGAGGGAGGATAGGATTGTGGAGTGTTCTAAAGGGTCTAGGACGAGGAGGGCGAGAGAGGTTAGGTGCGGGGGGTGGGTGAGGGATGTGAGGGTTTGGAGGTGGGAGGTGAAGTTGCGGGATGTGCCGTAGGATGTTGAGTCGGGGATTATGGATGCGACGAGGAGCTGTGGGGGGTTTGAGGGGGAGTGGATGGGTGGGAAGTGGGTGGGTGGATTAGTGGATGGACAAGAACTTTGAGAGATATATGTGTGGATGAATATAAATGTGAACCAGAATATGAACTTTGCGAGGATCCGTATCAAACCATCCGACCCTCGAACTCCCTTCGCCAGCTCGCTCCGCTCCGGTCGCGAGGGTCATTCCCACGCTCGCATTCGCTCGCCATCCGACCCTCGAACTCCCTTCACTAGCTCGCTCCGCTCGCACCGCTCCGGTCGCGAGGGTCATTCCCTCGCTTCGCGAACATCCGTCGCTCCGCGACCACCCAACCCTCGCTCCGCTTCTCCCCCCCACTCCACCTCCCACATACCGTAGTCTCCTCCTCCCCAACCTCCGTCATTGACACATTTTCCCAACGAGCAAACGACCAGTTCCCGCGACGTGTCAATAAGAAAGCGGGCTCCGCAGGGGTACCGTCGATATTTCCTCCGACGTGCACGTTCAGTTTAACATTGTTTGTAGTGTAGATGCATAAGCGGAAGAAAGCGGCGGCGAGGATGATTTGGAATAGGCGGAAAGCGCGCCTGAGGTGAGGGTTTCTTGCTAGTGCGAATGTGTTTAGGTTGAGGTTTGAGACAGTCATTTTCAGTGACTTGTGGGAGGATGTGGAAGGGCAGGGGGTGGGGTGTTTTTCTTCAGTGGGTGGAGGGGGTCCGCGGAGGGGAGAAACAGGCCGGAGTTGTCTGGTTTGTGGGCTGGGCAGTTGCGCCCAGTAATCGGACACTGGCCCGACAGGGGGCCCTCCTCGGTTGTCGGACAGAACTTCGGGGACTTCAGAGCGGGTGACGGGTGTATGCAATGGTGCCACGGGAACAGACATGAAACGCTTGCTGTTCCCGCGGCTCGTGGCTGGGAGAGCTGAGCCACTCAGATCAACACATCATCTCCTGATTCGGGACTCCAGACTCCGGACAACGGAGTTCCTTCGCTGGCGACGTTCAGCCCGAGGCCGCGAACAAGGCTCATCAAATCCCCAGATATCAGACCCCCTCCGTCTCTACCCGCCCTGCAAAATCTTCCCCCGCGACTCGCTGACAAACACTGACCGCTGACCGCCCACGCCGCCCACCAACACCGTCCCCGTCGCCTTCAACACACCAACAACATCTTCACCATGTTCCGCCCAACTCACTCCCTCCCCGCCCTCTCCGCCCTCAAACCCCCTCGCCTCCTCCAACGCCCCCTCCCCTCCCTCCCCAACCTCCCAAAATTCCTCCCCCACCCGCAAATCTCTCTCCTCCAATCCCGCTCGTTCATCGACAACCTCCGCCCCGTAAACTCAAAACAATCTAAAGCTCAACAAGGCTTCTTCAAAGAACGGAAAGGTGGCTCCCTCCGTGGTTCTACTGTCTCCCTCGGCGACTGGGGCCTCCAAACTATAGAGGGAGGTCGTCTCTCCGATACTCAACTCGACGCTGCTAGAACTTGCCTTCGTCGCGTCTTAAAGGGGATGAAGGGCGCTGGTTTTCACTTGAGGGTTTTTACCGATCGCCCCGTGACAAAGAAGGCCGCGGAAACGAGAATGGGGAAGGGAAAGGGGAATGTCGCTTATTATGCTAAATGGGTCAGGGAGGGGACCATTGTTTTTGAGGTGAGTGGTGGATTGAGTGGAGCGCGAGGGATGGTGAGCGAATGCGAGCGTGGGATTGACCGGAGCGCTGCGAGCGGAGCGAGCTTGCGAAGGGAGTTTTAGGGTCGGATGGTAGCGGAGCGACGGATTCTCGCGAAGCGAGGGAAAGACCTTGACTACGTATATGTACCCATCAACTAACCCACTCCCGCACCCCACCCTCTCCTCTCCCTCTCCCCCCCCCACCCCACAGGTCAAAGGCGTCCCAAAAGACGTCGCCCACCGCGCACTCACAGTCGCAGGCTCATGCCTCCCGCTCCGGACAAAAATCGCTGCTGCCGCCCCCGAAGGTGACCGCTTCTCCCGAAGGACCCTCCCCTTCTTTATCAGGCAGAGGTTCAGGGACGCTGAGTTCCAGGCTTTTGACCAGATAAAGGCCGTCGAGAAGGCCACAGGGAAGAAATATGTCTTTGGAGAGAAGCCTTTGCCGGTTGTTATGGCAAAGGAGGGTGTGGCGGCGGCTGCGAGTGCTGCGGGTCCCAGGGCATAGATGGATGAAGGAGGGTAGGGGAGGGGAGGTAGGAGGGGATGCGTAAGCGTGGAGGGGACGGGTCCCCCTTTTTTTTCTTATTACTCTCCCCGTCTCCCGCCGTGTTACTTCTCCCTCTCCCATTGTGTAATTCATAGAATGCATCCTCTTCCTTCGCTGTTGGTTGGCCTCGTCCGAAGAGGGAGGGGGAGAAGATCGGGGACTGACGATGGGGCAGAAATCAACGGAAAAATCACAAAAAATGCTTATACTAACGTAATGAGTCTCATTGTCCACATTGTCCATCTCAGTTAGTATAGTGGTCAGTATCTCCGCCTGTCAGCCACAGGTTCGCGGAAGACCCGGGTTCGATTCCCGGACTGAGAGAACGATCCGACAATAGGAACAGTATTAGGACGGTAGTCTGTCCCCGCTGCTACAGAAAACTTCCCTCGCCGCCGGAAGAATGTGCACAAGGAAAAGACCCGTTCTTCCAATACCGTCCTCCACATTCCCGACATTCCAAAGGCCCCCTGCGATCCCCTCGAATCGTCGCCCGACCTCGCTAATGAGCCTCCGCAGCACCCTCTCACCTGAACCCCAATGCAAAAGCCGACCCCTCCATCCCTCCACCACACTCCATCGCAACATGGCGCGCCGCGCCGCAATCCCTCGTGAGTCACTTCGGATCCACTCCCATCCGGGATCTTATCCAACCCCGGTTTGCGTTGCCCGTCAGAGGTTTTGGTTTTGGTTTGCGACTGGGGGTGCTTTTTTCGGGCATGTCGTGTGTGTGGGGTGGGGGGGGGGTCCCCCTTTTTTCTTATTACTCTCCCCGTCTCCCATGTTACTTGTCCCTCTCCCATTATGTAATTCATAGAATGCCTACACTTCCTTCTCTGTTGTTTGGCCTCGTCCGAAAAGTGGGGATCGCACGGGGGAAGAAGAAGAATGGGGACCGACAAAGGCGGCGAAAACACGCAAAATTAAAAAAAAAGTCGTGAAAAACGCGGTCGATATATTTTTTATACTATTGATACTGTCATCTCAGTTAGTATAGTGGTCAGTATCTCCGCCTGTCATAAGGGAGATCGCGTATCTCCGCCTGCTATAAGTGAGATCGCGGAAGACCCGGGTTCGATTCCCGGACTGAGAGCTACGACTCCAACGCAGATATTAGTCTTTTCTTATTTTTGTGCTAGTGTTTATCCTATCCCGTTGAAAATTCCCATGGGGGGTGTTAGAGACCCCTCAAAGTCCTGCAAAATCCACCCAGCGGGGATTACTCCTTGGCAGCAGACACTCCAAATCGAGTCATCATCTTCTCGGACGAATGTGAATGTTCTGCCAGAGATCCCGTTATGTTCCAGCAGCGATTTCACTGAGCCCAAATCCCCACCGCCGACACCCAGAACTTCAGTCTAGAGTCAGCTTCAATGGTCCCCCAGGTTGCTCGTGCGCACTTTTGGCCGGAGAAACAGAAAATGCAGATGGGATCCCATGGGATGGGACGCGGATTGCAAGGGGATCAGGCAGATAAGAGAGGTGGGGGGGGGGGGGGGGGTGGGGTGCAATGGGGTTTGGGGTGGTTGGAAGGACGGGTTTTGGTTGTGCAGTTTGAGATGAGAAGAGAAGAAGCTAGGCGGGTTTAAAAAAAGGCCTCGATGTTACTCGCTTCAAATCCCGGGGTCTTCACATACACGAAACTCATGGTCACGTCGAATCGAAGTGCCTTGTCGAGCGACGCTGACCCCGTCGACATCGACCGTCGACCTCGGCCCCGACAAGGCCCCGCTGGTAAGCAAGGCGAAAGGAATCGAGGGAGGGCGTGTGATGTACCCACCAGGCACGTCGCTGATGGTTCGCGGAAATCGTCGAAAATGTCCGTCGGAACCGAATCGTGCACCTCAGCTTATGAAGTCTTTCCTGTGCCCTTGCAGACGGACCCCTCACCCCACAGGTTGATGGCACGTCGAGTCCTATTCCCCGCTGCTGTAAACAACCCGACCCCCACAACACCCTCGATCGCCTCGAGCCCCCCTATTCCCTACCCGCCGGACACCAAGATCCGCGCATGCGTCGTGAGCAACTGGGACCCCCGATAATTCTTGCGTCATACACCTGGGTCAGATGTTGTGTATGGTGGTCGATATAATGGCGGGTGCCGCCAGGGCTACCCTCAAGCTCGCACCGCCACTTGTGCCGATAGAGCTGTCGCCTGCCGCCTCGCAGACCAGCCTTCGTATGAACGCAAGTGTGGCTGTGGCCGCGGTGCGGCAGTCAGCCAGGCGGTGACAGCATCAGGATACTCGTGTGGTCGTGACCTGAGTCTCACATCCTCCCTTCCACACATCACACCATCTCCCAAGTAACCTTCTCACTCCACCATGATGGCCCCCATACTCGTCGTTGCCTTTGTGCTGTCCGCCTGTGTTTTCGCTGCGCCGAACCACTGTTACAGCACCAGCCACGGCACTTACAAGCTCGAAGATGGGTTCCCTTGGGCACAACAGCCAAGCATGATGATCCCAACTGAAACTTGATAATCATCAGCTCTCCCTTCAGTCGGTATGCCCCTCCCGTGATCACCTTCACCGCCTTCTCCTCTCTTGGAAACTGAAGGTCGCCGTCCCCACGTCGTGGGGAGGTGACGGCGAACCCCACGGGAGCGGGCGCTTCGGAGAGCGGCTACCGAAAACCTTCCTACGACAGTCTTCTTCTACGATACTTACAGCGGCAAGAATTCCTACCTCCCTCCCCCCCGCCGTCTACTCCAACGACTCCAGGTGGGAGCAGTTTCCCCACTTTCCAAAGCTGCGGAAATCGACGCGTCGCGGTGGCGCAGCTGGGTGGTGCGGTAGACGCGGGCCTTGCATTATATAACCCGTGATTTCCGTTAGCCTGCGTCCGCCTCCTTGGCTCAGGGGTAGAGCGTCTGCCTAGTAAGCAGAAGGTCGAGAGTTCAAATCTCTCAGGAGGCA